GTAACTCTAAACCAGTAAACATATATACATATACATACATACATACATACATACATACATACATACATATATATATAGTGTGTGTGTGTGTGTGTGTGTTTGTGTAGCATAGCTGTTCCTGCTAGCAGAAGGTGCTAAATGGGAATAACTGATAGACTCAACTTACTCATATCCCAAATCTTGCATTGACAAAATGCAGCTCCAGATAAGTAGCTTTTTCTTTTTTGGGACCAAGTAAGAGAGAATGCAGAATTCCCATCAACATTATATAGTCCTCTAGTATAGAAATTATATACTAGTCCTCTTCAAACCACCTTGATGCACCTTAAGGAGATGCTTTGTACCATGGACATGACATGACTTGCCTTATCAAGGTGCTTCACCAGCAGTTGCAACATCTGGCTAATGGATTTGCCAGATATAGCCTTACAAGGAAGATCAGGTGAAGCCGGCAGTCTTGTTTCGTTGTTAGAAGGGGGGAGTCTTCACTTCAGGAAACAAATTTCAAAGGGTGATTTGCTTGAAACCTTCAAAGCGTTGCTATTATATAAGCCACCCGTATACAAGCCATACATGAAAACCACCAGCTCAAGGGTTCAAACTAGAGGGAGAAAGCCTGTGGCCCTAAGCCTAATTTCATGTGATCCTTGCTCTAATTTCCAAAACACTTTGCATGGGATCAGTTTAGACTTCTAGCTGGATGGGGAGGAAGAGGATATAGAAGAAAGGATGAGGGACAAAAAAGGAGTGTGAAAAGAGGCTCCAAATGTAGGGCAGGAATAAAGTTGAACAGAAAAAAGACTCCTCTTCCCCCCAACCCACTTTCTTTAATATCTTTCTCTCTACAATGAGCTGTCAAGCTTAGCAAAATTAGAAGCTTGTGAAAAATCTCGCCCCTCCATCTCTGTAGTATAGCTAACTACTGTATTATTTCTTTATCCTTCCTAAGATCTTTTCCCATTTGAGAAAATCCTTTTACATAAATGTCACAAACCAAATATAGAAGGGGAGGAAAGAAAAAAAGGGGGGGGGACAAGAAACAAACCATCAAAGCATAATTCCAGAAACCATGGATATATAAATAAAACTTTAGAGACCATGTATCTGAAACCTTCATCCAAACCCAGTTCTATTCATGATTAGCTTGCATGGGCCAACTACTACTGTAACACTCCAATAATTTTCCCCCTCTATATTCCTTTTTTTTTTTTTTAAATCAGTTCAATCGTGTCCAATTTTCAGAGTCTGCCAGGACTAGTACCTGCAGTTTTCTTGGCAAGATTTTTCAGGAGTGGTTTGCCATTGCCTCCTTCCTAGGGCTGAGAGAAAGTGACTGGCCCAAGGTCACCCA